TCTTTTAGACCAAGTTTCAGACATGTGCAAGTTGCTAAAAGAAAGTAATTAAGTTAAGCTACTGAGTATGGACCTCAAACGTAAATTGAGTAGAATAGAAATGGCTCAAATGGAGAATAAGTGAGTAAACTGCTAACTACCGAAAACATTAAGTAGCGAATTACTATTGAACAAGAACAAGAAAGTACATAGGCTGTGATCCGTTAGTGAAATTCTTTTACCTAAATATAAAAGCGGCTAGTATTTTCACAGTAACGCTTTAATAGCTGGTTCTGCTTGTGCGTGCCTAATCGTTTTGCACTTTTTTTATTTTTGTATAAATGATGTTCTGCGTATGTATAATTTCTACTTTGAGGTTTAATACTGCCTGAGCTTGATGTTGCAGAGAGTGTTCGCTTATTTACAGTGTTGCTTAAAGTACATCTAACGAAATACTTGAAGTAAAGTACATAGTAAATGAAGGGTTATGTACATCAAGTAAAGCAGTAAGTACACCGGGTGCAATGTAATTAATGTAAAGTATTATAAATACAATCTACTTTCAAAATAAAGTACAAGTACTTTTTTACACAATATACCATTATGACCTTTCATCCCCTATACATTGCTTTTGTTTTAACTGGTATGCATTGATTCAAGTGTAATCGGAGGTCCATCATTTTTTTCGGAAATTGTGGCAAATGTTGGCTGAAGTCAAGTCGCCCGAGAGTAGTTTTACTCTCGCTGCCGAACTACCGATCAACCTATAAGGTTCTTGTTTCTGTCGCTCTTATAGCCGCCATAATTTTACTCAGGGAAATGATCACGTGACGTGTCAAAATACGATAGCGCGTTTTCACATGATGATTCGCCATTTTATTTTTCAAATTTAGGGAATGTACATTGAAGCCGGAAGTTGCACTTTCCACGGAAAGTACCCGAAGAAATAATTGAGTAAAGAACAAGTGCATGCTCAGAGAATATAGTTCAAGTACAAGTTTTCTAAAGCTACTGGCACTAGTACCTTAAGTACTTCAACACTTCTACTTGCAGTAGTACTACTTCACAGTAGTACTTAAGTAGGTCGCAGCACTGCTTGTTTATTACTTTTTAATGTAAAAACGTTGGGGGAATTACCAAGGTTTCTCGAACGATCTTCGAATCTTGGAAGATCTGTACATTTTGAGTTTTGAAAGGAAAGGCAACGCAAAGAGGTCACCTTTGTGTTGCCCTTGAGAACGCGATGCTTTAAGTACAGCGCAAACTACGGGAGCACCAGATGAGGTTCAGAGCGAGTGCTGCATTTTGTTGCCTCTAGGGAGCCTTCATGTGCGCTTTGCTAGGGTGATGCCACCCTTTGTAATACCACTCGCCGACAAACCAGCAACCATTTTGTTCCTCGGCGATAATCCGTGGGGCTTATAACCCTCCCGGAAACAAGCACCTTATCTCAGAAGTTCGGAGCAGCGTTGTGGAACCCACGGAGGGAGGATTAGCATTTTCCCCCTCGAATGGGATTACCGATGGACACAAAGGCCACTTTCCGGCGCACGGGGAAACAATGAGAGAAACAAAATGGCAGTGGAAGAGGGTGTGGGAAAGAAAAACAGGCAGTTGGCATCACTCTATGCGAAGCGCACATGAAGGCACTCTAGTTGCCTCCTTTGAGTGAGCATGCAGTGTGTAGTGGGCGAGAGTTCCTACGTTGAGGAGGAGGGGGGACAAGTCCTTTCTTGAAATGCGTCAAGTCTCCTTGAGCTTGGGGACACACATAAATGCCAGTTTTCGGCGCTAATCCCGCAGTTACTCGGCGACACTTTGCGACGTGTCTGTCCGCTCCCCGCGCCTCGTAGCCGAGTTTTGGCAGTAGAGGACTCGTGAAACTTTAGAGAATAACTGCAACAAAAAAAAAAAAAAGATTTTTTTTTTTTAAACAGTTTAATTGGGACAAGCATGTCACAAAACAAATCTTCGGCGAAAAAAATAATATTTTTCTAGCAATATTTACGCCACAGGACATAATTTAGTCGGAGTCGCAACTTCTCCACATTTGAAACTCCCGCTCCTCGACGCGCGCGGAGTGGCTGTTATACGTCACTCCGTGACGTATAGCAGCCACTACGTGACGTGTAATACCAACTTTGTGGCGCGCGATTTAAAACGGACGAAATAGCCGCAAACTAAAATCAGTCTCGCGCAATAAGTATTGCTGTAAAAAATTATATTTGTGGCGGAAACATTGTTTGTGGCATGCTTGTCCCAATCAGGGTGTTTAAAAATACTATTTTTTTTCTTTGCAGTTTCCCTTTAAGGGGGTTTCGGACGCTCCAACCCACTTTCTCTCCCCCCCCCCCCTCCTCAACCCTTCCTCTGCCTATACCACATGCTTCCCCCTCTTTGCAAATATCATCTGATCATGCAACATCTTATCTCTTTTTATGCAGGAATGTTTGTTGATAAGCGAACCTACCACTAACAGTTGAAAGTAATTTGTTATCTGAGTAGAATTCGCTCAAAAAAAGTAATTCAAGTAAACTACTAATCACCAAAAAGTGTAATTGAAAGCTAGTCACATTCTCAGAAAAGTAGCTGAACTACAGCAACGTGAGTAGAGTAGTTGAACTACGTACAAGTCTGAGACCAATTCATGTTGACAAACAAACCGGAGCGCCCCTAGCGGACGCCACCGGCGCAGCGCGTGCTCTATGGAGTGTGGGCAAGAAGCTCGCCGTCACCCATAAACGAACCTCTGAAATGCGATGTTGTCGGCGTCGGTGTCAGTCCCCGTGTTATTATTAATGTTGGAATTGTTGATTATATATCTTTCTGGCAATGTCTGACTATACTTGGTTTCAGCTTAGGTCCGAGCGTGGCCGTGGTTAAGGTGTATCCACTCGACGCAACAAATTGCTGTTCTGGTCCGCGGGCCGCGCATTACGTGGTCTTACGTCACCGTTGTTTGAGGTCCGCCGGCGGTCCGCGGCCAGCGCTTCTGAGAAATGCCAAGCGACTTTCTCGCCTGGACCTTGGCGGCGGACCGCGGCGTTTTTAGTATAATTGAAGCGCTGAGTCTGGCAACAAGCTTACTTTTGTTGCTTGGATTGGAATCCAAAGCCAAAGTCGTTCTCTTTTGGCGCCAACTGTTGAAGACGAAGAAGACGAACCTTTTGTTGTGCGACGATGCAACTTTTTACTTCATCGCACTCATGGAGAAATTCCCCGCTCTGTGGGACAATAGTCGCGACGACTACTCAAATAATCATCTAAAGATGTCCCCATGGCTTTTTCGGTTCACTTAAGTCCTCCTCGTCCTCAATAGTCAACGCGAGGACCACCGCAGCCAAACGTCTGTTTCGTTCAACCTCCATCTTGGCTCCTTACAAATAGCCTCAAAGCAGCTCGCTGCATGCGTTTGGCGGAGTTGTGAGGTCGAGGGTTAGACCGGCCCGTTCGCTCTGTCGTCTGCTCTTTTGGTACGCCATGTGGATGCTCATGGCAGCCGGGCGGCCCGCGGGCCGCGCATCACGTGATCAATCGGTCCGCGGCCCGGTCCGTCGTGTGGATACAGCTTTATGAGCCGAAGGTCCAATCAAACAGCGCAAAAAGCGCAACGTCATGGCGTTCTCCACTCTCGATAGGACGAGCCAGCGGTGGAGCACGCCCAGAAAGACGGCGAACACTGCTGGTCCTATCAACTGCGGAGAGCACGCCATTACAGTGCGCCTTTTTCGCCGTTAGATTGGCCCTTCGTCTCGCAACATCGGCCACGCTGGACCTAAGGTGAAACAAAGTATACTTCAACGGCCTCAGCGAAATTAGGGGATTTTCGTAGATCGTTTTCGCCGTCCCGCAACGCTCTCCGCAACCCGCTACGGTACCCGAAACTCTACAGTCAAGGCTACCGGCGCGCAGGCGCAGTAGCGGCTTCTGCGTTGCGGAGGGCTTAGCGGAGGGTGAAACACGGTCTACGAAAACTCCCTATTACCGAGGCTCGGTACGCCGCAAATCTTCGCGTGAATAAGGCGACATGCGGCGATTCATTCCGCGTGGACGTCGCAGAATGGAAGTTAAAGGCTGATTCGCTTGATGAGATTCTGCTCGCTATTTTTAGTTGCGACATGGCTCGGGATCCAAAAACGTGAACCGTGGCTGAGATGGTCAGCGTCGAATCGTGGTCGATACTAAAAATCGCCAACAGAATCGGACCAAGTGAATCAGGCATAACGAGTCGGTGATGGCCACTGGTAACAACGAAGAACATCGCCTTGTATCTACGTACAGTTTACACCGAGCCTTCCTATCCCAAACAACCTTAGAATTTAAAAGTCTTCTGAGGCCTGCACTTACTTGGTTTCGCAATTACTGGGCCAACATCTACGGGCCGGTGTTGTCTGAAAGAGCAGACGACAAGAAGAAACGTTTGAAAGAGCAGACGACAGTTCGAACGATCAGGCAGCAGTCTTTAAAGTGTCCAGTTTAGCCTTGTTGCCTTAAAAACAATTTCAGTCCATTGGTGAAAAGCACTATGCAACATTTGTGAATTTGTGAATCTATAAAATATCTGCAAAAAATGTGTACTTTAAATTGCTTGTTTTTCGCAGGATCAATATTTCCAGATTTGTGCGAACTGTGGCTGTTGGGAACATATCGTGGGCACAATCAGAGCCGTATATTGGGAGAGTTTGGCCATTCATTGGTATCAATGGAGCGAAAATCTATTGGCCGAAAAGTTGATTGACAGGCCGCTCGTGGCCAATCACAAGCCGCAAAACCTCCCCTAGCGGTGGTCGTGAGCCTCAAAAGTAAAGCAGGGTTCGGTAATTTCATTTTAGCGTCGCTAGAGTTAAAAAAGTTAACGCCTGGTGACTGAAAACTTGGTGCATGGGAGCTTTTCGTCATGGCCTTCTTTAATGGTAGAATAAACGAATGTGCACCACAGGATTCGAACGCGCGGCCACGTGCGTTGAAATGACGTAAAAAAAAAAGTGTGTAGCCGCGGGAGTTCCCGTCGTGTTTGAAAAATGGGGAGCTGCTGTGCTTTGAAATGCCAGAACAGAGCTTCCAGGGGAATTCGGTTGTTCAAGCTGCCGAAATCCCCTAGGAGGCGAAAACTGTGGCTTTTGAGAATCGGGCGTGGCGCGGGGTGGAAACCTCCCGACAGGACATACCTTTGCGAGGTGAGGTATTGTTCGAACATGGTTAAAATTGCGCGGTGGACGCGAGTGCACTGTGACAAAACCGTGTATTTTGTGATCTATTCTCTATTGCCGTGGAAGCGTCCTGTGCGCTTTCGCTTCACCGCAGAAAGACGAGTGGTTCAGGCCTGTGGCGATCGTGCGATGATGGATTTGTAAGATCGCGTATTTTGAAAGCGTGAGCCTCTCGTCAGCGGTATAACTGTAGTGTGACTTGAGCGGCTGAATACACAGTTTTGACGTCTACCAAAACGTTATTCGCTGCAGGACCACTTCGAGCCCTCCCAGTTCCAGGCGAGGTGCTCCGACGGCTGGAGGAGGCTAAAAGCCACAGCTGTTCCGAGTTTGTTTCTGCATTCTAAAAGTCAAGTGAGTGCGTGTAACGAGAATAAGTGAGATTTTTGTTCCTTTCGTATTTACCTAGATTATGGGAGTGAATTAAAAGCAATAATTTATTTTGTGTTAAGATGTTTTTACTGATATGATTTGAAAGAGGCACAGGTGACCTATAATATTCTGGACTTTGTATGCTGTTGACATCTCTGTTCCATGCCAGAGACCTTTTTTTTTTTTTTTTAATTCGGAGGGGTCCTTGTACAAGAGTGCATGAGACACCATCAGTCAGTGTTGCAGCCTGACACAGCACAAAACCCTGCCTCATGGAACTGTAAGTCAAAATCCAATCATTCATATTCTGTTGCTTCTGTTACGTTACTGCATGAGGCATTCGTCACTTTCAGCTGCCTTGTAATGCAATGACAGCTTCACCAGCTAGGTATGTGTCATGGTTCTTGCACGGCTTGGAGTGATCTCGTGAGGTGGGCAACACCCAATGGACCATTTGCAGAATTAGTGGTTCGAGAGTAAATGGCTAGAAGACGAGAGTCCCCTGGCCGCAGGCACGTCCACTGCGTCCCGTTGGCTTATTGTGTCGCACTGACCTAGGCTCCCTCAAAACCACTTATGTCCCATTTGAGGATTACTTTTCACCCCTAGGTAAATACAAAGGAGCCTTCGTCCCTCTCCGCTCGGCCAGCACGAAGAGAGAAAGAGCGACAAATTCATTTATTCCATATTTCTGCAAAACGTGGATTCTCCTACCGTGTTTGCAGCAACCAGCGGGCAGGACCCCTGGAGCAGCCCTGCAGGGCGGCCTGCTGACGCAGCCGCTTCCCACCACCAGCGGGGCGTGCTTCGTAAGCATCTTCCAGGGTCCTGTGTACCCCCGTGTAGCAATACCAGCGCACTCTTTGCCGCAGGTGACCAGCGACAACCGGCGCGGCCAAGCCAGCGTAGCTGCCCGCGGCACCTTTGTGTTGGCAGCCTCCACCAGCTGGGTATGCGTCATGGTGTTTGCACGGCTTGGGGTGATCTCGTGAGGTGTGCAACACCCAATTCTCGTACTGTGTTTGCAGCAACCAGCGGCCAAGACCCTTGGAGCAGCCCTGCAGGGCGGCCTGCTGACGCAGCCACTTCCCAACACCAGCAAGGCATGCTTCGTAAGCATCTTCCAGGGCCCTGCGTACCCCCGTGTAGCAATACCACCGCACTCTTTGCCGCAGGTGACCAGCGACAACCAGCGCGGCCAGGCCAGCGTAGCTGCCCGCGGCACCTTGGTGTTGGCGGCCTCCACCAGCTGGGTATGTGTCATGGTTTTTGCACGGCTTGGAGTGATCTCGTGAGGTGTGCAACACCCGATTCTCGTACCGTGTTTGCAGCAACCAGCGGCCAAGACCCCTGGAGCAGCCCTGCAGGGCGGCCTGCTGACGCAGCCGCTTCCCACCACCAGCGGGGCGTGCTTCGTAAGCATCTTCCAGGGTCCTGCGTACCCCCGTGTAGCAATACCACCGCACTCTGCCGCAGGTGACCAGCGACAACCAGCGCGGCCAGGCCAGCGTAGCTGCCCGCGGCACCTTGGTGTCGGCGGCCTCCACCAGCTGGGTATGTGTCATGGTTTTTGCACGGCTTGGGGTGATCTCGTGAAGTGTGCAACACCCAATTCTCGTACCGTGTTTGCAGCAACCAGCGGCCAGGACCCCTGGAGCAGCCCTGCAGGGCGGCCTGCTGACGCAGCCGCTTCCCACCACCAGCAGGGCGTGCTTCGTAAGCATCTTCCAGGGTCCTGCGTACCCCCGTGTAGCAATACCACCGCACTCTGCCGCAGGTGACCAGCGACAACCAGCGCGGCCAGGCCAGCGTAGCTGCCCGCGGCACCTTGGTGTCGGCGGCCTCCACCAGCTGGGTATGTGTCATAGTTTTTGCACGGCTTGGGGTGATCTCGTGAAGTGTGCAACACCCAATTCTCGTACCGTGTTTGCAGCAACCAGCGGCCAGGACCCCTGGAGCAGCCCTGCAGGGCGGCCTGCTGACGCAGCCGCTTCCCACCACCAGCGGGGCGTGCTTCGTAAGCATCTTCCAGGGTCCTGCGTACCCCCGTGTAGCAATAGCACCGCACTCTTTGCCGCAGGTGACCAGCGACAACCAGCGTGGCCAGGCCAGCATAGCTGCCCGCGGCACCTTGGTGTCGGCGGCCTCGACCAGCTGGGTATGTGTCATGGTTTTTGCACGGCTTGGAGTGATCTCGTTAGGTGTGCAACACTCAATTCTTGTACTGTGTTTGCAGCAACCAGCGGCCAAGACCCCTGGAGCAGCCCTGCAGGGCGGCCTGCTGACGCAGCCGCTTCCCACCACCAGCAGGGCGTGCTTCGTAAGCATCTTCCAGGGTCCTGCGTACCCCCATGTATCAATACCACCGCACTCTTTGCCGCAGGTGACCAGCGACAACCAGCACGGCCAGGCCAGCGTAGCTGCCTGCGGCACCTTGGTGTCGGCGGTCCCCACCAGCTGGGTATGTGTCATGGTTCTTGCACGGCTTGGGGTCATCTCGTGAGGTGGGCAACACCCAATTCCCGTACCGTGTTTGCAGCAACCAGCGGCCGGGAGCTCTGAGCAAACCCTCCAGCCTCTTTCTCCATCACCCGTTCCACCTAGGCTCACTGAAGATGTCTTTCTTCAGATGAGCCGGAAGATCAAGCAGCTGGAGAACGAGAATCGTCGCTTGGTGAGGCAGGCTGCCTTACAAAAGACAAGGGAAGCGACGTTCCGGTCTCAGCTGCACAAGATATTCACTGCGGACCAACTGGCAGCGCTATCAAGATCCAGCAACAGGGGGTCCAAGTGGTCGAACGAGACGGTGAAAAAGTCGTTGCAGATGCGCTTCGCGTGTGGCAGCACGGGCTACGACTTACTGCTGGAGGGGGGCTTCCCATTGCCGTCGTCTAGAACACTGCGGCGGCGACTTGAAGGCGAGTTTGTGTTTAGGCTACTCAAGTGTTTCAAAGCTCCCTGTTGATTATTTGCAGATATATCCTTGTTAATACCTGTAGTGTTTTTGTATTTTACGCAATCTTTTTTTTAAAATGAGGAGTTGGTGTCATGGTTACTTTTTCACTTAGGTGCAGTGTGGTAGGAAGGGGTAGATTATTCATATTATGTTGGAATGATTCTCTCATTGCAGGCTTGCTAGCACTAGTTTGACCTCAGTATCTTGCATGCGTTGAGATGTGAATTCAAGTTTAGAGGGGGAGTGTTTTCTTCACTCTCAATTTTTGTAACCTTGCTGATGCGACCATGGAGGTAATTATGCTGACGGTGTCTAAAAGAGCACACTGTGGTGATGATAGTCTAATGAGGCTCATGGATTCCATACGAGCACTGCATGAACACTTGACTTGGGCTCGTGACAATAAGTTCCTCGACTTGGGCAGTAGCTCATGACTAGGGCTCTGTGTTTTCGGAGTTTATTTTTCGTGAAATTCAGAGGGTGTTTTTGGGAGTTTATTTTTTAGCGAAAATTCGCTGTTTATCGGAGTTTATTTTTCATAAATCCCCAATTCTCCGAAATTTGGAGATTAATTTTGCAGTGTTTTATATTAAAATTAATAAATAATAACCGGATGCAAACGTGTGCCAAATAGAAACAAAAACGCGCTCGTATCAATTAAGATTCTTTCAGTTGAATTTGGCGTTGGTATCAATGGCGATACTAATTTGTCCCACGACAAAAGTCGCACAGAAGTGTGGCTTCGTTAAACGTCGATATTTTAAAATCAATATACTGCCGGAGGTAGCTGCAAGGAAGCTCGTAGTCATCCCATCAATCTATCCCACTGCCGCGCGAGGTGGATGTAATAGAGAAGTTTCAACTGCCCCTCGTCCCTATTTTATACAATCTCCATGATCCATAGCTTTCACTGTTACCCCCAGAAACACACCCTCTCATTTCTCTAAATCCCAAATCCCATGGCCCAAACTGGAAACCAAAAGAGTGGCTTTTGTCGTGACACGAATGGTACGACGACCTGTTTCCCTGAACCAACTTTGACGAGACAAGCCATAAGACCCCCTTTTGACAACGGTCCGAGGCTTGAACGATAATTATGGTGTCATTTTCCCAGGACCATTCATCCTGCGTTGCTCAAAATGTATAAAAAGAAAAAAAAAAGACTTTTCTTTTTTTTTGCTGTGTTTTTTGTTGGGGGGGGGGGGGGGGGGGTGGCATGGGCACATAACAATTCAGAGTTTATCGGATAAATCCGAATTGCCAAAAATTTTACCGGCGGGTGTTTTTCGGATTTATCCGAAATCACGGAGCCTTACTCATGACTGATCTCTGCACACGAATGGCCAAAATTAAACATTGTTTACAGCTCAGCATATGCTGCACATGTTGCCATACACAGACTATGGCTATACAGTCGACTCTCGTTAATTCAAAATCTCTTAATTCAAACTTTCGGATAATTCAAACTAACGTGCAGGTCCCATCCTCTGCGTCTCTATGGGAAGAAACTCCTGATAATTCAAACTTTGCTTTATTGAAACAAATTTTCGGCCCCCCTCGAGTTTGAATTAATGAGAGTCGACTGTACATAGTTCTCACGTGACGTCATCTAGTCACTATTCCCAGGTACTAAGCGTCCCATTAATGCAGTGGAAAGTAGGTTTGCACGTGCCTCCGCGAGCGTCTCACATCGTGCTCTTTATTCTGTGGAAGGCTGACTGCACGTGCAAAGGACGCCGTTGCTGGGCACTGGGTGACGTCAGTGCAATCTATGTATGGTAAACATTGGCAGCAGACCACGTGGCCACTTGTTCTGGCTACAAATCAAGGGGGTAAAGGATGCTCATTTTAGTCTTTCCTGCGACTAGCTCCGTGTCAAGAGAACAATTGTGTGCTCCATAGGTTATAAAAATCAAAAAATATTTTTATGCAGAATATATTACAAGCAGAAATGTGGTTGCACTGAACTTATGTAGATAGTCTAGTTGAAAATTCGAATGCTCTAAGCACAATTGTGCCTCTGTGTATCACAACGACTCTTCTTCATTTTCACTTTTTGAATTAAGGGGGCCAATTCTTTTTGCATTGGCATGTTTTTCTGTGTGAAATCAGGATCATTGTGTAGAAAGAATAAAACTTCAGTTTGAGCTCTCATCTTTGTCAGTGATGAAAACTCATAATAGAAAGTATAATTCCATTACAAAGACTGGAAGTTATTCACTACTAACTATTTAGAAAAAGATATCTTCAGGGCTTGCTTCGTAAGTCATAAGTGAGTATCTAAACCAATGGTTGTGACATTGAATGCCACGTAATGTTTTTGTTATACTAAACAAGGTGATTTTGTGGCTCCAGTGCAACTAGTACTTTCAGCGATTCACACCAGAGGCATTCTAACTTTTAATCACAATGAACTCTGCCCGTGGCCTCAAAACTATTTCAAAGCTGACAAACAAAGACAGTAGGAATCAGCTGACCTTGGGGCAAACTGAAAAAGTTGGTGTCTGTTTATCTGACGGCGGAAGAAGTTTTCCTCTAAGAGAACCCTATGTGCAGGCGTTAGGATTTCTGAAAATCCACTTTGAGATCCCAAGATTCCAGCATGAGTGACAGTAATAACTTGAATAAACTGCACTTTTCTTCTATTCTAGGCATCCGTTTCGAGCCTGGGGTGCTGGGCGAAGTATTTCAGCTTCTCAAGAAAAAAGTGGCGCACCTCAAGCCGCAAGAGCGCAAATGCGTACTGTTGGTCGATGAGATGGCTATTGTACCGAAGTTCGAGTACGACCCCAGCACAAGCTCCATACGGGGTCACGTGACAATGCGTGTGCCAGGAGCACCGCCCGCCAAGCCACCGTCCACAGAGCACGCCAAACCACAGTCTGCTGAGCCACCGCCTGCGCAGCCACCTTCTGCCGAGCCGTCTGCTGAGCAACCTTCTGCCGAGCCACCGGCCGCCACCCATGCTCTGGTGTACATGGTTGCTGGGGTGTCTTCACGGTGGAAGCAAGTCGTGTGCTACCAGTACATCGGTAACTCTCATGCTCTTTATTCATTTATATCTCTCAGTGTACAAATAATGTAATATTTACCGCATGATACACTTCCTTTTGCTCTCTCTCTCGCTCTTTGCTTACGACAATGATGGTGCTAAGTCGTATGAGGGAAACATTATGAACATGGAAGTGCAGGCTGAACAGACAAGTGTTGAAACTCTTCAGAACACTACGAAGGAATGGTGACAGAAGGTTTTTATGGCATGGGCCCTATGGATCTAACCTACTTTCTTTGGAACGAAAAAAATTACTTTCTTATCGGATCACACTGGGATTTATACAGAGGTGCGTGGCGAAGTGGTGGATGTTGGTGAAAATATCAAATGAACTTAACACAGGAAAAAAAAGCTGTTTCTGGCAGGGTGCTCACCTGCTTGGGGATGCTGTAAACAAATAGCATGGCCTGGCACACGAAAAGGTGTGGCAAGGCATCTCGACTGATCAGGTCCCATACCACAAATAGGGATCCCATACCAGAGGATACCACAGTTCAGAAGCCATTCATTACAGAGGCAAGCACCATGCTGAGGGAAGCATCAAATGCTTCCCTCAGCATGGTGGTTTAGGGTTTAGGTGTGTGGTGTAATTCGCAAATGCAATATGACTGCTAACTTGAGCATGTATCATAAAGTAATTATTACACAGCTGGACACTGCTACATTGCTTCATCATTTCGAAATGGATGAGGATGAAGACTATTCCCAGTATGTCAGTTCAATCCTCGTGCATGTTGGATTTTGCCTCAAGTGCTCCAAGCTGTGGTGTGCTGACATACTTGTTTACCAATTTTCTCACTAAATGCTTTGTCAGAAGCAAATTCAAGATATAGCAACATTATGTTCTCTATTCCCATTGGGTAAGTAAGGATGAAACATACACACCAGGACGGGCTACTACCTCCAAAGGCGTCTTCGTTCCATCTTCCCTGATGTGTAAAAAATATTTAAACCTACCGTAATAACTCATTCTCTTTCATTCTGTTCCAATTTGTTTTCACCTGTTTGGCTCAAGGGAAGCTGGTGCAATCATGCACCGCTTTGTGCATAAACCGACTTCATGAAAAGTGTCACGGTACTTTTGAGGTCTCTCTTTTTAACGAGAGGCCTGAGTAACGCTGCCCCTAACTACAGGTGGCATGTTCTCCTGTGTGGAAATCCTCTTTTCCCGCCTAGTCGAAATTGTACAGCCTAAAGTACAGCTGTAGCGTGGCTGTCCTTCGACGCTCCGCTGGTGCAGATGCAGAACATCAGCCTCGTGAGCCCAGGGCACCTGG